CTTTGAACCCCGATATATAGGTTACATTTTACCTCATTTCAACAAAAACTAGCTGTGTTTCAAGAGTTCAAATGCCTCAAGTGCCTTATGGTTGCCATATTAGATAATACAGCTCTAAGAGAAATGGACAGAACACTACAATTACAGGAGCTTACAACTGCTGCTCTCCCTGTGAACTACCTAGAATGTGTTTAACCAAGGCATTTAATGGATTTCTCAGCTTTTTAAAGACTGTTTTTTTTTTCTCTCTGAGAGAAATTGGGAACTAGTGGTGGATCTGAGCAAAGGTAAGACATGATGTATATAATCAAGGATCCTTCTGATTGTTGTTTTGAGAAACAGACTGAATGGCTAAGGATCAGGGAGACCAGGTTAGCAGGACATTGCAATGATCCAAGCAATTGGTGCTGCTGGTCTAGACTGAGCATGGGTGTGTGGGGGTAATGGAGGCGGAGAAAGCGATTGGAGTTCAGAAAGTCTCCAAACATGGAGCCAAAAAAAAAAAAAAATGCTGACGACTTGGGTGAGGCACGCTAAAGAAGGAATGAAATTAGGAATGACAACAGTCGCTTTGTCCTGAATAACCAGAAAGACACAGTTGTTATCACTGAGATGGCAAGAGACAAAATTATGGAGGCAATAGAAGAATCTGTAATATGATGCTATCTGATAATACTGTAGCATAGTATATTTACAGTCATGGACTACGGAAGGTTTTCTTAGGGAGCCATGAAACTGAAGGTCATAAAGGAAAAAACAAACAAACAATAGGTTAACCAAAGAATGCAAACTTCTCTATGTTGAAAGATATAAATCTAAAAAGAAAAAAAAATGCTGATGAGGAGAAAATATCTTTAGGGTAGATAGCAAACCCAGGGTAAGATTCACAATATGTAAAGGATAGTTTAAAATATTGAAAGACAGATGACTCCAACTTAAAAATGGGCTAAGCAAGCAATTCACAGAGGAGGTAATGCCAGTTAGGCCATTAAACCTCTGAAAAGAAGCTCAGTCTCATTAGAGAAAAATCAGTCAAAGCAACAAAATTGTATCAGATGTCACTCACAATCCTAGTAAAAAGAAGACTGACTGATCATTGTAGTTCTTGACAAGACTGACCACAATTGCATATACTCTCAATAGAGGAAGATTTACAAAGAATTCTTGATGGACAACTTCTGCAGTCTACTAAAAATATCTGTCCTCATTTTCTTCAGTCCATCAATTCCATTATTTGCATTAACCTACAGAAATACTCACGTAAGTGAACAGATTTCTAAATAAAAGACTGTTTATTGCACCATTGTTTGTAACAATGACAAACTGGAATTGATCTAATAATTTTCCAATAGAGTGGTTGAATAAGCAACAATTCATCCATATTATGAAATAGGTTGCCTTAAAACAGATAAGGAATATCTTTAAACATAGACAGTTACAGTGATAATAAAAATGTGTTTTAAAGAGAGAAACAGCAAACTATAGAATAATAATATTATCATCACCTTTACGTTAAATAAATGTGTGTGTGCCTGTGTGCATGTGTGAATGTATAGAAAAAGGCTACCCTGTTATCCTTTGTGAACCTGGGCGTGGGATTATGTGTGTGAGTGAATGAATAGGGACTGTTTTCAGCCTCTGTATATTTCTTGTTACGTCAAAGCATTTTTAAAGCAAGGTGCATTTCTTTTGTAATTTAAAGTTAACGAAAAATGAGAGCTAAATGAGAGACCGTGTCTTTTTTTTTTTTTTGTAATCCCAAGGAAGAATCTTGGGGACAGTATCTAGCAGCATATTTGTTGCATTATAATCACGCTGTGCCACTGTGGCCTTGTGAAAGATGTGGCATTGTGAAAGACACGGCCTTGTGAAAGACACAGCCTTGGTTTCTTACATAGGGGTTATAGATAATAACTGGCCTGGTTTTTTTTTAATTTATGCAGTTGCAAAAATAAAATGGAAAAGTAATTAAAATGATAAAGCTCCGTAAAACTGCTGAAGATACTTTTATTTCATGTGCTAGTTAATAGTTCACATTTTTGTGGGTAGCAATCAGTAACATCAACATTAGGTTCCAAGAGGATTTAGATTATCTCAGAGTTTGTTTTAGCCTAATGTCTTCCTTTTTCAGTTAGATCTTTCATAGCAGCAGTGTAGGTACTTAAATGCATTAGGGTGTCTTGTATTTGTGCGTTTCTGATTCAGTTGGGTTTTGACATCCCTTTGAATGGTGCACTCTGTCCCACCTGCTTTGGACGTGTTGAATGAATGACTGAGCCCTTCCTGAGTACCCACTTTGTGCTTAGCACTCCCCTGTATTTTAATGGCCAAAAACCCAGATTTATTTATGCTAAATTTCGTTTTAATGATCATTTGTATTATCATTCTTTTTTGTGTTTTGTATTATGTATAATTTTTGTATTATTTTGTCTTATGTATAATTTGTATTATGTTCACCCATGGGACAGGGATGGAAATATAGGAAGCCTCTGGCTTACAAACACCAGATTTACATATTTCTTTCCCCGTGCCACTGCCCCACCACTGGAAATGGTGTTCAAGGGAGCCCTTATGAAAACCATGGGTGAAGAAAGAGAAGACTATAGGTCTCTCTCGGAGGCTTAAACTTAGACATCAAGCAGATTCTAGCTGAGAAGAGCTGGTGTGAACTTCCAGATGGCCATCCTACAAGTCGTCCTCCTCTGCAAAACAATCTCCTCCCTCAAACCAGGTCTCTTTATTTCATTGTTTAGACTTTCTTTGCAGAGATTCATCTGGCTAAAGCAAGCATTCTAGTTTCAATAGTGCAAACAGACTGTGGAACATCAGTGAACACTGACTTCCCCACTCCTCACATGGAGCTGATGTCTGTTTGTGTAGATGAGAGGGGTGGTGTTTCTGGGCATGGGAAATTCTGAGGAGCAGGATTCTCCTTCAAGGCAATCAAGGGACACAAGGAGTTAGTGATCCAGGAGGAACAGAAAAGAAGGTGAATGCAGAGAAGTACAATAGTTACCTGGAGAAAAATGCTTTCTTGGACACAGCCCATGTCTTAGAGAAAGAAAAGGGTATTCTTCCTCTACTTTCTTTCCTTCTCCTTCTCCCTTACCTCATATAATAATGGATGTCTCATTCTCACACTTAGGTAGCTCATAGCCTAGTACTGAGAACTGAAACCAGTGCTAGACTATCAGTACATAAGTAAGAATGACACATTCATTATAATATTGCTCTTTAGGAGTGTGTATTGCAGTCAATGAACTTACCAGTCAGTACACTTTGGGACACCGTCTTTCATAAGTTGGGAACTGCTTGTACGAGACCCAGTATCTTCCCTGAAGGAGTTCACAAGCATTGGATGTAGGAAAGAATCAAGTGCCAATGGTAGGTTATCGGAACCTAGCACAATATGTACTTGTGCCGGAGGAAGCCCAGAGAGGAATGGTCTGTGTATTCTTTGAAATCTTAACATGAGACTTCATGAACGCTCAACATTATGAATATGCCTGGGTAGTAAGGCCAGGAAGGAGAAAATTATAAATGGTGACTAAAGTTGCATGGAGCCAAGGTTTAGCATCACATGAGCATGGGTAATGAAGGCTCTGGGGAAGAATCAGCTGTGATGGGAGCAAGATGACTTTCTGAGAAACAATGCGAAATTGGCTTGGCTAAGGTGAGATTTGATTAAAGATAGGCTGTGAAACAAAGTAACACTTAAAATTTACACACAATCATGAGACTGAACGCTTTAAGGTGATAAAACAGAATTTTTCAGGTAGATGATTTAATGTAACTAATATTCTGATGAGGTGAGAGGCAGATCTTGGAAGCACTGGGAATCCAGACTAAGGACTTTGGATTTGAGCGAAGAACCATTCATGGTGTTACTGAAAATGCTTGATTAGGGCCAGAACACTGGCCTGTGGTTGGTACACAGGGTGAAGGATGAGATTGGAGAGATCATTTAACAAGTTGCTCCAGAAAGTGTGCTTTAAGAAGTGGGACAGGGACAGAGATCTGAGAACTGGGACTGAGACATATTGGAGAAGGAAGAAATCTGAGAGTTATTTTAAGGGTGGAAACCATAGGCCTTAGAAATCACATGGAGGGGTAGAGGTGACCCATGGGTTTCTCATGGCTAACTAAATGCAAGAAGAACTCTAATTACAAATACGTGTTCATGAGAAGGTTCCTTGCTTAAACACCTTCCATGTCCTCCTGGGGAACCGTCCTGTCTAAGGAAATCTTAGACTACGTATTCAGTGACTTAATTCTGCAAAAATGGAGGCTCATCCAATAGCAATCTTAAAACGTTCATTCACTAACTTGATTTTGAAAAAGCAGGTTAGCAAACAAGCACTGTAAGGTTTCTAACTTGGGAAACAGAAGCATTCTACTTCCAGTTTCGGTGGCGAGTAATGACAAATGCCAGTGTTTTAGAGTGATATATCCGGAGTTTGTTCTCATCGAAAGTTTTGGCTTCATAACCCCTAAACTCCGCCTGTGAACCTCATCTTCCCGGGAACCTTATAGCACCAGTTCAGTAACCTGATTTGTAAAAGGAGGCTAGAGAATCAGTGCTATGAGACTTTCATGGAAATATTTGAAATTAATTAGGCTTGTCAGCTTTTATTTGCGTAGGCTGTCTTCCAACTGTATCTTTCCCCTCAAGTACAACTTTTTAATAAGATTAATTTTAAACAATGGGACTTAGAGAATCTGTGTACAAAGAGCTTGAAGAATTTAAATACGTGGGTTGATTATTAACACAGTAGCAAATATATCAAGGAAACACGCCCCATGGAAAGTGTTTCAAAGAAACACAAATCTGCTCTGAGAAAAGTTTGTGCCCAATAAGTAAGCCCGAAAAGGCATGTTTGCTTGGTGATGCCCAACAGATAAGCCTAGCAAACCTTGGTGAGACTGAAGAAGCCAGTTTGAGACTCAGTCTAGTCCAGGCAAGCTACCGGCACCTGTTGCTCTCCACGAACCTGGCCACCATGGTGTTCGCATTTTGGAAGGTCTTTCTAATCTTCAACTGTCTAATAGGTAAGGAAAGGATCTCCAAACTACCCAGAAGAATTAGAGATAGTCTCCTTTTTTTAAACTGAAATTACAAAGTTCTATGTAGAATTTCCTCTTCTGTACTTCAAGGGAATTGTGACTAGCATGTTGTGTAAAATAATCTTTGGAACTGTGTGTAGCCAATATGTGCTGTGTTGCTATTTTGATGAGGGTGGTGGTGGTACCGGGTTGTAATATAATTGCTTTGTGGGGCCTCTGGGTGAAATTTTGTTTTCAAATCATGGTATCTTTATTTGATTTGAAAGGTTGGCAGATAATTTTCTCAGAAGCCGAAGGTTGTATTAAGGCTAGTTTTTTCCCCCTTGGTTTTACTTTAGTGTTTCCTTTAAGCTCCCTGTGTATGGATTGCTTTGTTATAGCAGAGCTTGGGGTGGGGGTAGGGAGCCGGAGGGGGAGCACTCCCGGGGCTTAGGCACGGGAAGAGCAGAGATTTCCAAAGTGCTTTATTAGGTAATATTTCTCTGGGAATTGTGATTTTTCTAATTCTGTTTTGGAAAATATGTGAGTGATTTGTTGTGGACAATATGGGTGATTTTAGGGATTAGAGCCAAAGAAAAGCCGTCTAGAATCAAAAATTCTGTTGGTTTGACCCACAAGAGACTACTAATGCAGAAAACCCCTTGGGTATTTTTTCAAATGCCAGCTATGCTTTGAACGTGTCCTTATGTTACACCGAGTCCATTGTGGATTCAATAATATCGTTTAAGGGAACAACAGTGTTTATGTGAATAAAGGAGGATTTTTTAAGCCATCAGTAATATTGGGCAGTCATTAAAATGAGGGCTGCTAAATATATTTAATGACAAGAGAATACTAAGGATGAACTTTTAAGTGAAAGAACATGATACAGGAGCGTGCTTAGCGTAAATTAACAGAAGGCCATGCCTGAAATGTGCATGTGATTATCTCGGGTAATGGGATTATAGATGCTTTTTAAAATTTTGATTTACTTAAAAGGTAGAGGGTCACAGAGTGACAGAGACAAAACATAGACATCTTCCGTCTGCTAATTTCCTCCCTCAGAGGTCCACCAGCAGCTGCGGCTGGGCCTGGCCAAATCTAGGAGCCAGAAACTCAATCTACTCTCCCACATGGTTGACAGAGGGATTCGGCTCCTTGAAATTATCACCTGCTGTTTCTCGGTGTATACATTTAGCAGGGAGCTGAAATGGAGAGCAGAGCTGGGGCTCGAACCCAGGGCCTCTGAAATAGAATATGGATGTCTCAGCCGGCATCTTAACTCACTGTACCACACGCCCACCCCTGTATGATTTTGATTTTATTATCTAGCCTTTTCATATTTTCTGGGTTTTCTGCAACGAAGATGGTAGCATTTTTATAATTAGAAAAGTATCACTTTTCAAATCTAACTGGTATTTAGTAATTGTTCTTTAAATGTCATGACTAAATGTTTCAATATAAATGTTGTATGGAGTCAAAGGTCACCAGAAGGAAATGCTACCCAATCAGAATATCCAAAAAAAACCTTCAAAGTGGTTTTTTTTTCCCTCCTCAAAATACAATATAGCTGACTTTCTCTGTGTATGCTGTGTGCTGTACAGATACACACATGCATATATGATTGAACTGGACCAAAGCAAAATATTGGTGGCATCAGTCCAGCATATGCAATGGGAACTTGATGGAATACATGTATTGTTATTAGCTATACTTACACAAATGAGAGAAATGAAGATTTCAGTACTCTATACCTGGCATTTACATTGCATGGTTGTAGAACAATGGAGAATATTTCCATCAGTGTGCAGTCTGGTCCTCTCTCTCACCTCGTTGCAAAGAGAAGGCCATTTTTTGGCTTCAAGCACAGTGTCTAGCACATGGTAGGTCACGATAATGTTTGCTGACAGAATCAATTACCTTCTCAAACTCTGAACACCCAGAAATTATTTTTCACTTACATATGTAAAACCAATTTTCTGTATACCTAAGCAGTATAGATTTTATTTTCATCACAGCATTTCTGTTGACTTCTTCAGAAATGCAAGTCTAAATTCCAATTCAGGGAAACTAACTTAAACATTTTCTTCTGATAGATAGATATTCCTGCATATAATTTTAGGTCTTTGTAATATGTGTTACTCACCTGTTGGAAAAATATGTTCAAGTTTGTATTTTCTAAAGGTATTGCTATACATTCTAAAGCTGCAATAGACTAACTAGAATGTTGGTTTTACAGTCAGTTCCAAACGTAAGTGATCATTTGATTGTTTTGTAATTCAAAAATGAAGGCATTATACATGAAGTTGTAGGAAATCATTTCCACTGCATCATGGTTAAATCTGACTGACACACAGTGTTTTGACTGTCGGCATATCATGGGAGAACAATAATTCTCCTATCATTGAAGCTTGCTGGACTGTGGGCATGAAATAAATGCATGAGCAATGATTACCAAAACATGAGACATAAAAAAAATTCCATCTCTCTTTTCTCTCTTCTCTCTCTTTCTTTCTCTCCTTTACAAGCTTAAAAAAAGTATGCTAATTGATACTTCGAATTATTCCCTTTAACAATTATTAACAATCAGCACTGGCTTCTTTTAAGAAACCACAAATATTTCAACAGCAGATGCATATTTTTTTTGCTTTTTAAAAATTCAGCCAGGTCAGTAAGAGAAATAACAATTCTGGGTTCAAGTACTCATCGTTTAGTTTGCTATTTATTAGAGATTTGCTGTTAAAAGATTTTTCTTTGTCAATTTTAAAATAATTTCTCACTTTAGAATGAATGACTCCAGATGAAGATAGCTTATTATCTGGCACAGAATCACTTCCAATTTAAGGTTAAATTTGCATTGCTCACTATCCCTGTATGACTGACGAAATTCAAATTAGCCAAATGAAGAAAAACTACAAAGTCAGTTTTGAGAGTCCACTGGTCACTTTTCAGGTGCTCAGTAGCTACGGGTGGGTAGTGGTTACTGAAGTAGTGCAGGGCTCTAACCTTCTCATCATTGCAGAAAGTTCTGGAATAGAGGATGACCTCAGAGGTGAAAATAATAACAAAAATTGAATGATGTGACATTTTGAAAGGCTCATCTGGAAATAAATATCTCTGGCATTTGAGTATATTGTCACTGTCTTAGGGCTGGGCAATTTCTGAAAACTGTATTTCCTTCAGAATTTAGGAATTGGTTACAATGCTGGATATTGGAACTCGAGGCAAAAAGATCTTGAGGTTTTGCTTTGTCGCGTGTCACCTATTTGCAGGACAATGTGTAGTGTTCTTAATGATGCTGTTGCTGCACTTTCAATTTTGAAACGACCATCCTAGTTCCAAGTGATATTAACGATTTGTGGATCTCAAATTAGCTACATATTTATATGTTTTCTATTTTGTCTAAATGTTTGAAATATTTGAATGAGACTTATCATTCCGAAATGTTTGGTTTTTACTCACCTCCATTCTGGTCTGTACTATGAATGACTCCCTGCTGCATTAACCTGACACACAGAGAATGTATCTGTCTTCATCATTGCGCACTGTTTGTGTCTGTCTTTAAGCACTTTTGCTGTGAGTGGCCAGCAAAGGGCCCTGGTCCTAAGCTCCCTGGTCAAGTTGTAGCATGTAGCTATCCCAATAACAGCTATTAGGACCCAAACTGAAGGGGAAAATGGCCAAGTAATATCTCCAAAATTCATTGTTAGGTAAAAGTTCCTGGAAGCTTTACCAGTCACCAAATCCCAGGTTCCAATATTTTACTTTTGGACATTTTAAAGTCATTTCGAAGTGATCCTTTAAGCACAATCAGAGATGTGGCTAACTTCCTGGAGAGAAGGGATTCATTTATCTCTACAGTAGAGTGGACCAGCTTTCTCCTGGGATGCTTTTGTTGGAAAGAGCAGGTGCTTTCTGAAGGACAGTTTCCTTTTTTAAAATTATTTTCATTTGCAAGGCAGCTTTACAGAGGGAAGAAGAGAGAGAGAATCTCCCCTCCTCTAGTTCACTCCAAAAATGGCTGCAATAGTCAGAGCTGAGCTGATCTGAAGTTAGGAGTGAGGAGTTTCTTGAGGGTCTCTCATGCGGGTTCATGGGCCCAAGGACTTGAGCCATCCTCTGCTGCTTTCCCAAGCCATAAGCAGGGAGCTGGGTCAGAGGTGGAGCAACCGGGATGCACATAGGATGCCAGCATTTCAGGCAGAAGGTTAGCCTACTATGCCACAGTGCCAGCTATGGTCAGTTTCCTTTTGGGGGACAGTATTATGGGGACTAGGAAAGCACAGGGAGGTGAACACTGTGAAAAATACTGCATATAATTCAGAGGTTCTGTGTTCATGTCTGCCTTACTAAAGTATTTTTTTTAAATATTTATTTATTTTTATTACAAAGACAGATATACAGAGAGGAGGAGAGACAGAGAGGAAGATCTTCCGTCCAATGCACTCCCCAAGTGAGCCGCAATGGCCGGTGCTATGACGGTCCGAAGCCGTGTACCAGGAACCTCTTCCAAGTCTCCCACACAGGTTCAGGGTCCCAAAGCCTTGGGCCGTCCTTGACTGCTTTCCCAGGTCACAAGCAGGGAGCTGGATGGGAAGTGGAGCTGCCGGGATTAGAACCGGCGCCCACATGGGATCCCGGGCGTGCAAGGCCAGGACTTTAGCTGCTAGGCCACGCCGCCGAGCCCCTAAAGTATTTTTTGAGTACTAAAAGCATCAAGCCATTGGTTACCATGCAAAGAGCCAGCTTCTGACAAAAGGTGCTGGATCAGATGGCCCCACTGTGACAGAGAACACAAGCTGTTCAAATCCCAAGAAATCAGGATGTCTAATGGTTTGGTTTTTCTTTTACTTTTAAAAAATGTTTGTCGATCTCTTAAGTTCTTTTTTGTCTGACTGCCTTTTGTCTATGCAAAATTGGGAGGAGTACAAGAATCTGCCTGTCTGTATCATTTCCTCTGAGCCACTCATAACCTCTGCCTCCCCAGCGCACTTCTGCACTCCTGTCCCACCCCCTTCCTTTCCCTCACCCCCCCCCACCCGCCCAGTTTGTAACTCTGCAGGCAGGTAAGACTCCGGCTTAACTGTGCTGGCCATGCAGCCTGGCCAGCATCTCTTGAACTTGACCTTTTCTGATACTTCCCCATTAATTTTGTGGCCCATCCTAGGGAATTTTACACTCTGATTTTGCAATGAACAATGAACAGTTAATCAGATGAGCTGGGGTCTCTAAAACGTTACCAAATTGTTGCCATTACCGCAGTCCTTTGGAATGTGCTGGTGTGGTCCTGAGAGCTATTACAGTGGCAGATTGGATTTGAAGGTAGGGAATTCTTTGTTGCTTCTGCAAATCACAGGGGAAGCTCATTGCTTCATTGATTTCCTTAAATCCAACAGTTCCCAAACCATTTGTATTCCCAGGACAATTTGATAATATTAAAATTGAGGACAATTTCTGGTCTGAACAATGTGGCATATAGACCTGTTTCTCCTTGATGCTCCCCTCTAAGCATAAATACAAAGCCTGGAAATAAGGTAAGGGAGACATCCAGAAGAAGGCAAGAAGAAAGCGAACTGAGACAAACAGAAGTAAGGCATCGCAGGTCTCCCACTCAGCAGAAAGGGACCCAGTCCTGACATCCTGCCCAGCAACCGAGCACCGGAGGGCAGCCCAGGTGGCTCGTTCCTACCAACAGAAATGACAAATAAGTGAAATGAGTACTAAGATGGTTAACCTATTACGATCATTCCAAAATTCACATATTTATCAAAGCATCACATAAATATGCACAATTATTATTTATTGATTACAATTTTAAAAACAAACTAAATAGTAAAAATCAAATAAGAGCTAAATGCTATAATTCCTATTTCTTATGAAGACCCTTTTAATCTATAAGTTGCTATTCAACTTACTGTGTCTCTACTTGGAAAGTCTTTTTTGAATAAAATCAAACTACTTGCTTGTACAAATTGAAATCACAGAACTGAGAAATGCAATAACAAAATTAAAAACTTCCTTATGGGTTCAGTAGTAGAGCAGAGATGGCAGAAAATAAAATCTGTGTCTGGTGAAACCGCCCCTCCGGAATGAAGGGGAAATAATAAGATTCTCAGTCAAAGGAAACCAAGCCAACAAACAAAAATTACTGCTAGCAGACATACCCCGAGGAATGTCTAAATAAATATCTTCAAGCGGAAAATAAATGATAAAGAATCTCAGAACATTGAGAAGGATGCAGAAATAACAGTAGCAGAAATGTGAGTACATAAAATAGACTGTCCTTTAACTTGTGAGTTTTAAAGATAATATTTGATAATTGAAACAATTGGAACATTCATTATAACCACATGTTATACTCAAGATAGTGATATTTAAAAATAAAGAAAGTAAATGGACCTGAACAGAAGTGAGCTTTCCAAATTTCATTCAAAGTGCTAAAATATTGATACCAGCAGACTGTTTTGACTCTTTTATGTACCCAGAGCAAATACTATATAAATCAGTGATTATGCTAAGTGTAAATGCATTGGATGGAAATCCAATAATGTGTTGCTTACAGGAAATTTACAATAAATTTAAGCACAATATGGATTGAAAGCAAAAGGACAGGAAAATATATATGTAAGTATTAAGTTTTGACAAATCTGGAGTAGCTATATTAATAGTTGATAAAATAGGCTTCAGAGCAAGTAAAATTACTAGAGAGGCAAAGAGACATTAGCTAATGACAGAAAGATCTATCCAATCAAAGGACAGGATATTTTACTTTATTAAAGATTTATTTATTTTTATTGCAAAGTCAGATATGCAGAGAGTAAGAAAGAGAGGAAGATCTTCCATCTGATGATTCACTCCCCAAGTGACCACAATGGCCATGCTGAACTGATCCAAAGCCAGGAGCCAGGAGCTCCTTCCAGGTCTTCCACATGGGTGCAGGGTCCCAAGGCTTTGGGCCATCCTCGACTGCTTTCCCAGGCCACAAGCAGGGAGCTGGATGAGAAGAGGAGCTGCCAGGATTAGAACTGGCACCCATATGGGATCCTGGCACGTGCGAGGTGAGGACTTAAGTCATTAGCCTTCTCTGCTTGGCATGGGCAAGACAGTTTTAATGTGTTCCCACTAGAGAACAGAGTCTCAAAATATACAGAAACTGAGAGGGCTAAAGGAAGAAGAAACAAATCCACAATTATACTTGGTAATTTCAATTCTCCCTCTCAGAAACTAATTAATCTACTAAACAGAATTCAGCAAGGACATGGAAACTCCGAAAAACACAATCAGCCAATAGGATCTAATTGAACATTGTTATTATTCCATCTTGATTTTTTCATAGTGCTTTCAATTCTTTCATCTTATATAGAATAATCCACCCAACAAAATCAAGTTCATTTTTTTCCAATCAACTAGAGAACATTCACTAAGATAGACCATATGCTTGATCATCAAAGAAACTTAAGTGTATTTAAAATAGTTGAAGTAATAGAGTATATCCCCTGACTTTGCAGAATCAAAGTAGAAATAAGTAACAGAAAAATTCTAAGCAGATGAAAATTAAATAGTATAATCCTAAATAATATACAAATCAAAGAGGAAATGTCAAAAGGAATTTTATTGAAATAGGTAGCATTTAGTTAAAGCAATGTTGAAAAAGAAGTGTATGCCACTAAATGCTTAGGTTAGAAATGAAGAATGTTTCCAATTTAATAATCTGTTTCTGCAGAAAGGAAATGAACTAAAAAGACCAAAATCAACTGAAAACAATCAGCTAGAATCAATGGGATTGAGATAGAAAAGCTGTAAATACAAATGAATGGAGCAAAAATCTGGTTCTTTGAAAGACACCAGGAGAATTGACAGGCCTCTAGCAACACTGATAAACATGAAAAGAGTCAAGACACAAATTGCCAATCTCAGAAATGAAATATAAGGTATCACTACAGGTCTTCATGAACAACTTCATAGTCATGTGTCTGGCAACTTAGAAGATACTGTCCTTCAAAATTAATAAACTACTGAAACTCACTCCATATGAAATAATCCAAATAGCCATACAAACATTGAAGAAATTGAAATCAGGGACCAAGTGTTTTGCTTAGCAGTTAAGACATTTGAATTCCATATTAGCGTACCTGGTTTCAATTTCTTGTTTTGATTTATGACTCCAGTTTCATGCTATTGCGGATCCTGGGAAGATATAGTGATAGCTCAGGTTAATTGGGCTCCTGCTACTCTCCTGGGGGATCTGAATTGCATTACCATATCCTGGCTTCAGCCCTGACCCAGTCCTGGCTAAAGCAGGCATTTGAGAAGTGAATCAGTAGATTGAGACTGCTCCCTCTTTTCCTGCTTCTGTGTTTTTGCATTTCAAATATATGAATAAAAGTTTAGATTCAAGTAACTTGAGTACATACTGTATAATCTCCTGCAGGATAAACATTTGGCCCAGCTAAGTTGGTATACAAGGTTACATCCACAGACAACGGGTTTAGGAGTTGAAATTAGAACAGCTAACAGTTAACCTGTGCTTAATAGTAAAAGACTGAAGTTTTGTCCCTTAAAATTGGGGAAAAGGCAAAAATAACAACCCTCACCTCTCTTAGCACAGTACTGATAGTTATAACCATTCCAATTAGGCAATTAAGCATCTATATTGGAAAGGTGGATACTCCCAGCTACCTATCAGAAAGCTAGCACTTATATTATACAGATAATTTTCAAAACTCAGCAATAAAAACCTAAAGAGTCCGGTTAGAAAATGAGCCAAATATGTATCAACATTTTATTGAAGAAGACACACAAATGGCAAGTAATCACATGAAAAGATGGATAGCATTATTGGCCATTAGAGAAGTGCAAACTGCAACAGCAATGATATATGATTACACAACACACCTATCAGAATGGCTAAAGTAAAAGATAGTGACAACACCAAGTCCTGCTACAGGGGTGGAGAAACTGGATCATGCCTACCTGGTTAATAGAAATATCAAATGGTGCAGCCACTCTGGAATACACTGTGGCTAGCCTTAAATAAAACTAAACAGATAACTACCACTTATACTAGCCATGACACTTTTGGGCATTTGTCCCAGATAAATGGAAATTTATATCCACACAAACATTTGTACATGATGGTGTGGGTGTGTGGTCATAACTAAGCTACCACGTGAGATTTCTGTTATTGGGGTGCCTGGTTTCGAGTCATAGCTCTGCTTCCAATTCAAGTTTTCTGCTAACGCACACCTTGGAAAATATCAGATGATGGCTCAAGTACTTGGGACCCTGCCACTCACAGGGCACACTTGGATTGTGTTCCATTCTCCTGGTTCAGTCCCAGGTTAACCAAAGCTGCTGTGGGTGTTTGGAGAATGAACAAACACATGGGGGCATTCTGGTCTGCCCCTCTGCATTTGAAACAAATAAATAAATAATAAAACTGAAACAAAAGTGAAGCATCTTGTGAACTTCAGAAGTCTGTATATAAATGCTCATTGACGTTTTCTTTATCATCTCTAAAAATTGGAAAAGCCAGATTCCTTAAGTAAGTGGGTGGTGTAACAAACCATTGTAATACATGATGCCTCCATATTCCCTGACCGTGTTGAGTTCTCAGACAACACTTGATGAAGCTCTGTGTAAGGCCATGCTTACGCAGTGGAAAACTCGAGTTCAATGTTATTGCTCCATCAGCATGTAGGATTTCAGTATTTTCACCTTGTAGTTTGCTAGAAACTTCCCTTTCCTTGCCTCAAGTACCTGCTTAGCTTTGTTGGCATAGTTCATTTTATTCTTTCCTCCCTGCCTTGGAATCAAAATACTTGTAAGTATTTTCTAATGGAAAAAGTGCCATCAAAAATGTGAATACATATCATTGTCTTTTCGGTGCTTATTCTTTCAGGTCAAGTTCGAGTGGTACAAGTGACCATCCCAGAAAATTTTGTGAATGTGACCACTGGATCTAATGCCACCCTTCTCTGTCTCTACGCCACCACCGTGCCCTCGCGGGAAAAGCTTACCATCCAGTGGTCTTTCTTCCATAACAAGGAATTGGAGCCAATTTCTGTAAGGACTCTTTTCCTAAACTCTTCCCTTTTAGTAGTTCTGACTGAAAACTGTTGAGGTAAGTGTGCAGAGCAATGTTATGCCAGGGACAATGGTGCCAGAACTGCAGAATTTAAAGATAGCTGTTTTAGGGAATTCCGTCGGCAGTGACTTGGCCTTTGTCTTCTCTTCATATTTGGTTATTGCCTGTTTTCTCGGTTCTCTACATGTCAATGTTAGGTGCATCACATATTGCAGAGTAGATGGCAGTGGCCATTCTCATAGGCAAAAGAAACCGTAGTTCTGAAAGGATGCCCCGCCCCCCCACACAGAACACACATACATATCATTATTTCCAGAAAACTCTAAGTTGAAATGCAAATTCTAATTGATAAGCAGGTGTCTGACAAACTTAATATCTGGCGTCTGCCTATTAACTGGGCTAACTCATCATGCCAAGCTGAGTTTCAACAGAATGAGCCTTTCCAGATGCGTGGGGAAAGGCCATGTCAGTGAAAAACCCTGGATGATGACATGCTACATGAGGTGAGTGGGGAGAGGACAGGATGAGTAGGTGTAGCAGCCTTGGGAAGAGTTTACCAGAGTAGGGTGAGTGAACGCCAAGGAAGGAGAATGATTCTGTCAGCAAGCTGCCTAGTTCCAGGTTTTCCTCCATCTGGCCTTGAAGACAATTCTTTCTTTAACCCAAGGATTAAAATTGTATATTCATATATGTATGTGTGAGTACATAAATATGCAAGCACATAGTCCATGCATGTTTACAGTTTCATCAAATTCCCAAAAGAGTACATGATCCCAAACAGAGTTTAGAGAAAAGACAAATCAGTGTGATTTTGAATAGTTGAATGCACTTAAAGTAGGGCTGTAGCGGAAAAGAAGAGTTTAGGAGAGAATAAAGATAGAAGAACAGGTTGAGTGGGCTGGGAAGGAGATGGAGGGGAAGGTGGTCATCACTTTGCAGTAGCCACACCTTGGCCAGTGTCACTTTCATGTAGCAGCAGTCACCATCCAGGAGGAGTTTCCATCAGCGCCACACTCTGTTCAAAGCTACCAGTTTTGCTTGGAACAATATTTGCTGTTTTTCTTTAAATTGTGGAACAACAGCGTTACTCATGGGGAATCAATTGACAGAAAGCATACAAAACCACAAGGAGACAAATTATAAAGCCCTGTGAGTTTTATCCCATGTAATCATTGTTATGATTAACAGCAGCAGCACCATCACCAAGAGCAACTGTACCAGTTTCCATCACCCAAAATGTCTTGAGCCAACACCTTGCATATTGGAGTCAAGTAAGAAACTATCACTTTGCTTTGTATGTTGCTCTCAGATTATGGAAGGCAGTAATCAAATGCTCTTTCTTCCTTTTCAATTCAACCTCCTCACTATCTTTTTCAATGAATTATTTATCTGTAGACTTACCACTCCTCATTTTGACAATGGGGGCTGAGTTTAGGGAGATATTGCCAAGATATTTTGAGATGCTTTGTGCTTGCTTCTCAAATCAAGATGCCATGGAGGCCAAGCAAATATGGTTTGAACTTTAAAAATCACAAAACTTTCTTTATGCCCCCGAAACGTATCTACAAGGCTACCTCTTGGCTGACTGGGTAGCATGTGAGAATCTGGGAGGGAGCTATGGGACTGGAGCAGCTTGTGAGCAGGGGAAGAATATAAACATGTTTGAATGAAGGTAACTGGAGCTCAGGGCAGCACACAGAATCACTTTAAAAAGAAAACCTATTAACAAATAAAAAATCTATATTGAGTAGCTTATTTTTAAGATATTTATTTATTTGAAAGGCAGAGTTAGAGAATCTTTCATCTGCTGGCACTTTCCTCAAATGGCTGCAATATCCAGAGCTGAGCCAGGAAAAAGTCAGAAACCTGGAACTTCATCTAGGTCTCCCATGTGGATAGCAGGTACTCCAGCACTCAGAATCATCTGCTTCTGTTTTTCCAGCTACATTAACAGGGAGCTGGATCAGAAGCAGAGCAGTTAGTATTTGAACTGCTTCTCATATGGGATGCCAGTGTCACAGGTGTCAGCTTAAGCTGTTGTGTCACAGTGCTGGGCCCCGAGTAGCTTACTTAGTTGCCAATTACTGTGTTCTCCAAAATGTCAAGTAATGTAATTTTGGGGATGTTCAAATAAAAGGATATCCTCCGCACCAAGCTGCCAGATCAAGGAGAGCATGTTTCCTTACCTTAAAACTGTGTGAAACCTGGGTTATGCCTGTATATTAGCCATGTAGAAGTTATGGAAGTCTAGGATCAGCTCTTGGATTGAGGGCATGGAAAAGCATCCCCATTAGGAACACTTTCTCCACCTATCATTTTCCTGTCTTGCTTCAGCTCATCATGCCCAGATTCCCATTACCATCACCCTTAGGTCTCTAAGTCTAGATTACCAGAGTCTCTCCCTGCTCTGCAGGTACCATACTTCTCTCTGCTTTGCCAGGTGGGAGCTTTGGACCCCCAGTGGAAACCTGAACAATGTGAGTTCTACTCTTGCTCTATTACTCACTTCCTCTCTGGATGACCTTAAAGAAGTCACCTGATCATTCAGAGGTTCCATTTGCTCATTCAGAGAGTGGAACTGCTGATCTATCTCACAATTTCCGTGTGAAGATGGAGTGGGATGCTTGTGAAGTGCTAGGCAATAAGCATTCAGTGAAGGAGAGCTGTGAGGCTCAGCATCACCACTCAGATAATTGTGATTTCATAAAAGCCTTTATCTTACACATATTCCTGGTGAGGCAGAAGAACTGGGTCATTGGCACAGCTCAAGAAAATGCATGTGGTAGAGCTGGACAGCAGGGAAAGTGCTCTTGAAGGGACATCAGAGCTAAGATTGGCTTCTAGTTCCACTGCTACTGAGAAGGCCCTATATCCCTTTCGTGCCTGCTCCTCATCCCCGAATAGAGAAGTAGCTCAATTAAGACACTGAAGACATCACATGTTGAGATGATACTTTTCAACTTGAGATTTGAGTACTTCCCACGCATATGAAATTCAGTAGATCCTTTTGGTTGTTTACCTAAGGATTGCTGGTGGGGCTTTGGGGAAATATTCAAGAGACTGCTGTGCTGTTAGATGATTCTGTGCTTTATGGGGGTAAAATATTGCCAGATTGACCCACTGAGTGATTTGGTTCAACTCCTGGGTTGATGTGGCAGTATATACCATGTAGTGTTCGGCTCTCAGATCCACCCATTTCTGCTCAAACACAGCACAACTCGTGCCTCAATACTGAGGGTATGGAGGAAAAGGCAGTCAGTCAGTGTCTAAAAGTGGCGCATGCACGAGACGCTCGGGGAAGATGTAGCTGGACTTCTCAGGTAAGAAAACTTATTGGTGTACTGCTAAACTTTCCCACTGTTTACAGTCTCTAGGCCACTCACCCCAGCTCTGCCGGTGTGATGGGAGGGTCTGAGTGTGGTAACAATCTAGATCAGTACAACCCTTTGATGAAGCTGGGCTGGTTTTGGGCTTACCTATTTGTCCATGTCTGGAATTTGTTTCCACTTCCTCCAAAAGACTCAGAATCCCACAGTTGCCCTGACCAAGGCAGTGGATGGCTCCTGCCATATGCCCAGCCTCCTCTCCTCTATCAAACCATGTTGTAAAGTAGAACTTGATCTAGCAACCTGGAGTTTCTCAATAACCAAGTAGATGTTATCTTGTACTGGCTTTCCCTAGCCCAGGTGTTTCTGTGGTGAGTAATGATTGCAGAAATCAATTGCCTCCAAGACTTCTAGAAAGAGAAGCTAAGGATTGCTCATAGCTTGTTTGTTCTCTTCCAAAGAACTGCATGTATGCAAGAATTGTCCACACATAGCTCAAAGTTAAAATAGTGACTCAAAAGGCAGATACTTCAGGCAAATGGAAAGCTGGCAAGTAAGTGGCTCAAGGGAGAACAGAAGTCTTCCTTTGGTATTCTACTCTTTCCATGTGCAATCCCAGCCCCTCCAGTACAGTCTAGAGAACATTCTGGGCTTGAGACCCTTGTCCCTTCACCTCCACAAAGCTGGAAGGGAGAGCATGTGTGATTTGCTATGGACTTCTATGCCCTCCCCAGAAGGAAACTATAAGAGCTTTTCTGGGAGCTCAAAGCAATTGGGAACAGCAACTTGGACTCAAATAGAAAGCAGACAGAACTCTCCCAACCCTTCTTGTTTAAATGCCAAGCCTCTAGTTAGTTAGAGAGCAATGTCACAAAGCCAAGGAAACAATCTTTTAGGACAAATCTGGCATGCAGCTGCATGGCCGGCCTCCTGTGAATAGGGACTTGGCACAGTAGGGAGGGAAAGGGCTGCTCTGTAAAGAACGCAGAGGTCTGCAAGAGAGGCAGCTGACAAATGTGGACAGCATCATGCGGCAAGCGCCCTCGGCCCAAGAGGCAACCAGACCAAAGAGGAATCTTTGGAATGGCCCCAAAGAGGGTGGGAGTGCATGAGAATCATCCTCCTCACTCCAGACAGGGCTCTGAGTAACTATCTTCATGAATTCCATGTGGATCAAGAGGTCTGGATTCCAGGCCTGGCTGCAAATTATGTGACCTTGGGAAAATCACTTCCTATACTGGGGACTCAGTGTCCTTCCCTCTCATAGAAGGGTTCACGCAAACAGCCCTCTGGGTCAGCTTTGGCCATGGACCATAGGAATACTTCAAAAAGCTTGTGGGAAAAGGTCATTTCGGTGCAAAAGGCTTTAAAGTTTATGTACTTGTGTTTAGCAATCACATTTTCCATGACCTTTTTAAAGACCCCCTATATTTGCATTAGCCAGTCAGGTATTGTGTTTGCACAGTTGGAATTCCTCATTGCACTGGCTCCCTAGCTCATCACAGTCCCCACTATCTCTGATTCTTGCCACTGCCCACCAGCCCTTCCTGGGGTCTTTCCCTTGTTTCCATCATGTAACTGGCTCTTGAAGCTTCTTTAGACTTAGAAACCAGGAACTAAGTGATCTGGAAGATCTGTGAGCGCACATATCGGCCTCCAGCATCACAAAAGGGTTTGGGCAGAGGGTACCTTGCAAGAAGGTAAGGCAGTATGCCATGAACACAGATGTAAATGGCAAGTGGGTCAAAAGTTAACAAGCACCACTTAAAGGAAGGAACACTTAGATGGATTTTCTTAAAGTAGGACTCATTCCTGGTTCCCCTCCTCTGCCTCTTGGGTGTGGTCAGTTAAACACCTGTTGTTTCTCTGGACCTTGATTGCTTTGCTCTCTATATTGGCAATGCTCTTTTAAAGCTGATTTATCTATTTATTTGAAATACAGAGTTACAGAGAGGAGTTGAGTGGGAATCAGAGCAACAAGGACACAACCCAGTGCCTATATGGGATGCCAGTGCTGCAGACAGCAGCTTAACTCACTGCATCACAATGCCAGCCCCTTGGGAATACTTTTTTAAAAGTGGGAAAACTACTAGGATCATGGGCCGAACTCTGGCTATTGAAAATCTTCAGCTTTGATGCTTTTGAAAAAGTTAGCCTTTCGTGGAAAATGGACTCAGGTTGTAGTCCTTCCAGTGTGGTTAGATAAACCATTTCAGGAAATCATGTCTTTCTTATTTGCTTCTAAGGACAGTGTAACAACATGGGTTTTCCCTAACAGAAAGCCCCTCCAGTTCTGTGTCTGGCCACTGTCCAGTCTTGGGTGCTTTCCTTCCCACATAGCACCCTTAAGGCAATGCCTTCCGCTTTTGCATCTCTTTTGTTAGTCCTCCTTACTGCCATTTTTATTTTGGGGGCAGGGACTGAAATTAGCACCCATATGAGACACCTGTGCTGCAGGTGGCAGATTTATCCACAACACCACAGTGCCAGCCCCAAATTTATTAAATCACAGTGTGAAGAGCTAAAGCAGAAAGCATGATACGGGGCCCTATCGTAGATAAGTTACTGGTCCAGTGCCTCCACTGTTTATTTACTCATTTCACCTACATTTCCTGCCCAACCATGAACCTTTCATAGTAGTTTGTTTTTTTCACATCCAAGTCCTGGCCTACAACCTATTTTCAAGGCCCACGATTTCTGCAGGAACAAGGATCCCTCACTTGGATCTTCTGGAGCTAACTGTGGGCCTCAGGCAGAACTGATGTTATACGTCATAGGAAGGTGATTAGGCAAGGCTGATTTGTCCCGGTCTCCTTGGCCAGACGTTCAGGCTGTATGAGACTGTCTTGATGCACAGCAGACAGTATTACAGGTAAGAGACAATAGGACATCCAGTTGTCCATTCGAGTTAAATAAACCATGTGCTGTTTAGTGAAATTAAGCGGGACGGCATGGATGTCAAGCCAAATGAAGGTATCGAACCTGCGGTGAGTTGGATCTCTTCTTGTCCTGCTTAAATACTTTGTTCTCTAGTTTAAAAGTCAAACTAAGACCATTCTGAGATAGAAGCTTGTAGTTTAAATAGATATGAATGGATTATAAAGGATCAGATTTAGAGCAGGAAACAAAACATTGAGTTAGTGTTTTTTAAATTTTGATATAACATGAGTAATTTCCTATTTTCATGATACAAAGATTTATATTTATTTGAAAATCAGAGTTAAAGGGATAGAGGAAGCAATAGAGAGATCTCCCATCCATTGGTTTACTCCCTAAATAGATATAACAACCAAGGCTGGTGCAGGCTGAAGCCAGGGGCTTCTTCTTGGCCTCTCACATGGCTGTAGGACCATCTTCTGCTGCTTTCTCAAGCACATTAGCAGCAAGCAGATTCAGAAGTGGAACAGCTTGAATTTGAACTGGTGTCCATGTGGCATGCCAGCATTATAGGTGGCAACTTTAAACTCTATGCCACAACATCAGCCCCAAGTAAACACTGATGTCAAAAAACAAATAAGAGGGGCCCGGCGCGGTGCAGTGCTTAAGTCCTCACCTTGCACGCCTGGGATCCCATATGGGCGCCGGTTCTAATCCCGGCAGCCCCGCTTCCCTTCCAGCTCCCTGCTTGTGGCCTGGGAAAGCAGTCAAGGACGGCCCAAAGCTTTGGAACCCTGCACCCGCGTGGGAGACCTGGAAGAGGCTCCTGGCTTCGGATCAGCATAGCACCGGCCTTTGCGCTCACTTGGGGAGTGAATCATTGGACGGAAGATCTTCCTCTCTGTCTCTCCTCTCTGTATATCCGCCTTTCCAATAAAAAAATAAAATCTTAAAAAAAAACAAAAACAAATAAGAGATAACAGATTTTATTTCCCTTAAACATTTTTTTCAAACTTTCCCTCGAATTGTACATTAATACCTAAGTTTAAAAATAAATTGAATTTTCTAGCACCAGAGCCATGGAGTGCCAGGCTGTATCTCCACCTGTGCTGCCAGCATCCCATATGCCTGGAGAGATTCCAGTTATGTTTCTTATCACAAAACAGCCTGGCTTGGAGGCATGACTGGAGGCCACCTCCCTTGACTGTCATGCAGCTATCTGACTTGTAGACCACACCGTGCACCACATTATACTGTTGTGATGCTTATCATTGTGACCATGATCCTGAATGGAAATGAAGCTATGATTCAGATCTTTAAATCCAGTGAATTATAATAACAACAACTGAATCTTTGTAGCTGACAAGACTTGGTCTCCTTGAGCCTGAGTTTCCTTCTGAGAACTAAGGAGAACGATGCTAAAACTGGCTAAACAATTGTTCCACCTTGCTCTGATTCAGTTTGTTTCGTCCTTGCAATATCAGTAGGATAGGATGGTACCACATGTTGTGTCAGGCCCTTCGTGTTCTGCAATCACACACTTCTTTTAAAAAATTTTATTTTACTTTTATTGGAAAATCAGATATACAGAGAGGAGGAGAGATACAGAAGAAGCTTTTCTGCCCGATGATTCAGTCCCTAAGCAGCCACAATAGCTGGAGCTGCGTCAGTCTGACATCAAGAGCCTGGAGCCTCTTCCAGGTCTCCCACACAGGTGTAGGGTCCCAAGGCTTTGGGCCCTCCTTGACTGCTTTCCCACTATCACGGAGCTGGATGTAAAGTGGAGTGGCTGGGATTAGAACCGGCGCTCATATGAGATCTCAGCATGTGCAAGGCGAGGGCTTAAGCCACTAGGCTATTGCACCTGCCCCCTGCCCCACCTTTTTTTTTTTAATTTATTTCACTTTTATTTGAAAGGCAGACTTACAGAGACAGTGAGATAGAGAGAAAAATCTTCCGTCCTCTGGTTCACTCCCCAAGTGGCTGCACTGTTTGGAGCTGAGCCAATCCAAAGCCAGGGGCCAGGAGCTTCTTCCTGGTCTCTCATGCAGGTGCAGAGTCCCAAGGCTTTGGGCTGTCCTCGACTGCTTTCCCAGGTCACAAGCAGAGAACTGGGTGGGAAGTAAAGAGGTGGGACACAGACCAGCTGTGTCAGAGATGGGATGCTGGTGTCAGAGGCTGAGGTTTACTGATTGCCCCACTGTGCCAGCCCCTGCAATGTTACACTTCCAAGCAGCAGAGCAAATTCAAGTTTGCTTATTGAAAGTTTTTTTTTTTGTGTGAAAGAATATGAATATTTGGATTTTTAGGGAAACCAGATTAGTCTCATTGGATCAGGTAAATTTACATTTGAAAATTTTGATATTAGATAGCTTGGATCTTAGAAGAAGTTTGTGTGTTACATCAAGTTTCTTCCAGGTAGGCTTACCGAGTAAGTTTCAGGGTCTCCTAGTCTGAGCATAAAGGTTGCATTCTGCAGGCTCCAGCTATCTTTTCCTCCCTGAGCTAGGTTTATCAGTGCCCTGAGGATGTCACCCAGGTGCTCAGGGACTTAACCCAGCTAATGGTGTTAACAGCTGGGAGGAACTTGAGCACCTCACTGAGCTGAGAACCCTTGGCCTCGGGACCTGTTTCCCTGGGGACTGATACTGCTTCTTATGAAGGGCAACTAACAGAAGGAGCTTCCAGACAGTTTCTCCTGGTCTTGGACACCCTCTCATGCTCATTTTGGGTCTTTTTCTGTCCCAGATTTATTATTCTGAAGGTGGACAAGCTGCAGCCATCGGGCAATTTAAAGGTCGAATTATAGCCGCGAGCAATCCAGGCAATGCGTCCATCACGATATCCAACATGCAGCCGGCGGACAGTGGGATTTATATCTGTGATGTAAACAACCCCCCGGACTTCGTCGGTGTAAACCAAGGCACCCTCAATGTCAGCGTGTTAGGTATGAGCACTCTCCCCTGCCTTTTCTCTTCTTGGGCTGGGACACTGAGTTTTGATGTCATTCTGCTTCCTTCCTTCCCACAGCCAGCCGCGAGAAACGTTGCTTACACGCAAATATTCTTGATACAACACTGGAGACATTCTATTTGCCTTTATAATGAATATTTATGTATTTATTTGCATTTATATTACTTGTATTTATTTATTTGTATTTGTGTTATTGATACTCACTTACTTGTTTGGTATTTTTGGGTGGCTTGCTTTGTACCAGAAAGCGATAAAGTTTTAGTGATGGATGCCTATGGTTTCTGCTCCCAGTGTTGGCATTTTCAAAGGTTGGAATTTCTAAGAGGACAGTTGTGCTAATTGCCTTTCTGCAGGCTCAGATGATGGAAAGTGCTGAAAGCGAGGGGTGAAAGGACTCCCTCAGTTACTGCCTCATCAGTGGTGCCAAGGGCTTTTCCACATCTAGGTCAGCCTCCTGGCTGATCTCATCTTTGATCTTGCATGAGCATGATGTGCATGAGCATACTTTCGTAAGCTTGCGTGGAAATGGAATGTAAAGATAAGCTTATTTTGTAAGATAAGTTTATTCTGTACTCAGTGGCCTCGTGCAAGTCACGCCGCTGGGCATTGTGAGTTGGGTTTGTGGCTCCCGCTTCATCTTCGTTATAGGTTTGTTATGGGGATTAGATGGGAAATGAACGTTTAGCTGTCCAACACATTTGAGCACTTAATCATCTAATGATTTTTCTGTTATCTTTTACCTCTGGGTGTTTTGATCAAAGATAACCTAAAGAGGCCAAACCTCTTTATCCCAGGCTGGGAATGACCCTGAGATATAGACAAGAAGGTTCATTTTCAGAAATTGAGAGCTCGGAGAATCCCCAAATCAATTTCCACAAAAAGTTAAGAGTAACTTCCAGTTTGAGTTGTTCCCTGCCTCACCTTGAGTTGTGCACTCAAGTCATTGTGACACTTTTTGGGAAGCCAGAACCTGGGCAAGGCAAGAGACAGAAGAGGCTGTCAGTTTTGTTGTTGGGGAGCGCTCAAAAATCCCTACAGATATAAATGCTTCGGGAATTTTTAAGACTGCTGATTTTCTTTTAAAAAAAAAATCTCAGAGGCTGTTTGCAGTTTTGAAAGCTCACTCCCCATGATCATGCATTCTCTTGGCGCTGGTTGGAGGCAGCCAAGAGAGGCACGAAGGGAATGCATGAGGAAGGGAGACCAGGTGTGGTGGGGAGAGGGCTTGGTGGTTCCTCAAAGATGTCTCCTGCTGACAATGTATCTCTCCACAACATTTCATTGCTTAGTGGTGGATGCCAGTGTCATGCATTCACTTGTTCATTCATGAATTTCTATGACGAACGCTGAACCGAATCGTCAAGCATTGTTTTAAGCCATGGAGATGAAAAGATGTAAAAGGCGGGGGGGGGGGCGGCGGAGGGAGGAGGGGCAGCGCGATGACTCAATAGGCTAATACTCCCCCTCCAAGCACTGACATCCCATATGGGCACCAGTTTGTGTCCCGGTGGCTCCACTTTCCATCCAGCTTCCTGCTTATGGCCTGGGAAAGCAGTAGAGGACAGCCCAAAGCCTTGGGGCCCTGCACCCATATGGGAGACCCAGAAGACCAGGAAGAGGCTCCTGGCTTTGGATTGGCCCAGATCTGGTCACTGTGGCCATTTGAAAAGTGAACCAGTGGATGGAAGATCTTTCTCTCTGTCTCTCTTTCTCTCTACTTTTCCAACAAAAAGAAATGTATCTTCAGAAAAAGGTAGAGGGGGAATCCTGCCGAATTTCAGTCTAGTAAAGGAGACAGATATGCGACAGAAAAGCTTTCAGATGAGATCTGGAGGGGAGAGCTGTGGGGGTGCAGGGAAAGGGCTAAAAGCTGTTTAGGGGACCAGGAGAGGGCTTCTTGGGAGCATGCCCTTGTACTGATATCTGAAGAATATGCCAGAGCGTGTTGGGCAGAATAGAGGCTTAGAGGACAAGGCACAATTTCCACGAAGGAAAGAAGAGTGGGCGAAGGAGCAGCAGTTTGCATGTCCATTCATTTGAGAGATTTCCATTAGGTATGACAACCTTGGGAAATTAATCTCCAAAAAAGACTCAGAGAGAGTTTGAATAATTCTTTTTTGTGAGAATCTGGAATGAACATCATCTACCTCCATCAGCTTGGCACACAATAGAAAAGTGATTCATTGACAGGGTGCTTAGAAACACACTGAAGCGTTTTCATTAATTTTCTGGGGTGAGCCTTTGCCAACCCCCACACATTCCAATTCTGTTGAAAGCAATAAACTAGAAGGGTAGATCAATGGCTTTGCTCTCAGCTCACCCAAATTTGCAGATTTTAACTGGATCAAGCATCAGTTGAATTCTGAGTCAATAATTTTGGAAAGTCTATATGGTTCAAAGTGATTCACTAAGTATTTTGGTAATAAGCAGAACCAAAAAAAGTGTTTTCAGAGAGAGAAAGAGAGATGTCTGCTCAAGTTTTTTTTAATGTTTGTTTTTATTGGAAAGACAGATTTACAGAGAGAAGGAGAAACAAAGATCTTCCGTGTATTTGTTCACTTCTCAAGTGGTCGCCACAGCCGGGACTGCACCAAGTCAAAGCCAGGAGCCAGAAACCTCCTTTAGTTCTCCTCTGCCAGTACAGGGTCCCAAGGCCTTGGACCTTCATCCACTGCTTTGCAGGGAAGTGGATGGGAAGTGGAGCAGCCAGGACTTGAATTGGCATCCATGTGAGGATGCTAGCATTTCAGGTTGTGGCTTTATTAGCTATGCCACAGGATTTTCCTTGGAAGATTAACTCTCCTGGCGGGAATAAGTCCTGCCATAGGCCCATAGTGATTCCTTATTCAAAGTCCTATTTGACTTCTTTTATTTAATCTTTGGATCAGCCAGAGATTGATTTCTTAATCACATTTGAGAGACGAGTCCACTAAGGTCTGGTCCATCGCTTAAACCCAGAAAAGTTAAAATAGCAGGGCTTTGTTCTGAACTATTGCAAGTTAACTAGCCCAGCTATCTTCAGCATCCCAAATGAGTTCACCTGCCTAAGTTAAAACACCTATGCTATTGGGGAGTTTCTTATCCAAATTAAGCTAAGTCAGGTGAGTGTCAAAATCTGGAGGTTTTAGATCATAGTCTGTTGACAACACTAAGGCTCTAATACGCTGTGCAAAGGAAGATGAGGCGGGTCAGCTGCGCCCTCGCTTCCCACAGGGCTTGGGCACGGAGGTGCTTTCCTAAGCACTCAAGACCTCTGGGCATCCAAAGCTGACCTCCTCCTCATCACTCGGCCCCCTCCAGCCTGCCCCTACTCCTACATTGCTTGGCCCAGGGCATGGCACCCTCGGGCTCCTAGTTGTGCAGGTTCGTCAGCACAGACCCCACTGTCCTCTGCACTCTCCCTATCCAGCTGTTACAGAATCTGGCTGATCCTACTTTCTTACTTCCTCTTGCCTCTCTCTCTCTCTGCTCCTTCCTTTTGGTTCAGGCACCCTTGTTTTGGAGTTCATCCTATTAAAATGCTGTAATGCCCATCACCACTTCCCTGCCCTGCTTCCTCCCTGGCTGCTTCTGCTCTCAGTGCTAAAACACAAGCCTTACAAACCCTCCCGGATCTGGCCTCTACTGCTACTCTAACTGCTCTTTCATCATTTCTTGCTCCCCTAACCTCCGTCCCAACTCAAAGCTGTGTTTGCACGCTTACAGGTCTAGTGCAGTGCCCAACACACAGAAAACACATAATTAAATGATGCAGAGGAAAATAGGAATAAAGGTTTCAGCATCACGTAACACACACACACACACACACACACACACACACACACACACCACACTCTGGACACGGGCTTCCACTACTGATGAAGGATACAGGCAAATCCAGAACTTCCAACCATTTTGTGCCACTCCCAGTTGCATAAGAGCAATAATAATAATAATAATTTAATTAATTATTGAAAAAACCATAAAGGAAAAGAATACTACAGCCTCAGTCAATAAAACAGTTCAGCAAAATAACAGGTTATCTCAAAGCATCTTAAGGTTCTATTTTCTATTGAAAATATGCTTTTAAAATATAAACTGTGTTCTTAATCATCTTCAGTGTTTGCTTACATCTTGTTATTTTTAAAAGGTATTTATTTATTTGATGGGTAGAATGAGACAGAAAGATTGAGAGATCTTTCATGCACTGTTTCACTCTCCAGATGGCCACAATAGCCAGGGCTGCACCAATTTGAAGCCAGGAGCCAGGAGCTTCTTCCAGATTTCCCATGTGGTTGACAGGGGCCCAAGCACTTGGGTCATCACTCACTGCCTAACCCAGGTGCATTAGCAGGAATGCTGGACTATAAGCAGAGGAGATGGGATTTAAACCGAGACTCTAATATGGAATGTTGGCATCACAAACAGCAGTTTAACTTGCTGTGCCACAATGCTGGCCCCACATTTTGCTGTTTTAATTAAGATGTATTTTAACATACAAGGCCTCCTGATTAGAAGGGCTTGAATTTAAAGTGCTCTACTGCCACCTTGTGGTTCAATCAGAAAAAGGTTTGATAGGTTTTTACAGATTTTTTTTGTCCACTTTTTTTTTTTTTTTTTGAAAATTGCCTTTTCTAAAACAAGCAACCATAGTACACAAAATTTAAGTGAGGAGGTGTGTGCAATTGTCACAGACTACCATTCATTACACAGGAGTTTTACTGTTTGTCATTACTTTGCAGTCAAACCTTCCAAACCCCTTTGTAGCATCCAAGGACGACCGGAAACCGGACATGCAATTTCTCTTTCTTGCGTCTCTACACTTGGAACGCCTTCCCCTGTGTACTATTGGTATAAAGTTGAGGGAGCAAACGTCGTTCCAGTGAAAGAAAGCTTCAGTAAGTATAGTCTTTTGTGGCTCCTGAAAAAGCTTGGCAATGGGGGTTGCCTCACTGCCTCAATGTGTGGCAGGCTGCTTGTCCACAGACCCCAGTGTGTCCTGTAATTGTGTGGGGTTGGGGTGGGACTGAAGAGGAATGACTTCCAGCATGATGAGTGTGGCATGATTGATTCTACAATTTCTAGAGGCAACTTAGGGATGCTGAGTATGGAGGCTGATAGGCATGGTCTCAGATGGGCTGCCTTGGCACAGTTGATGAGCCTGGCTGGACCCTGGACATCTCAACAGAGAGGAGATATATGTGGAAAAGTGGGTGTGTTCTGCATGATCTGTTTACATTGATGTGATCTATACGTGCCTAAGAGATCTCAAAAGTCTCTATCCTGATTTGCACAGACCCTAGCACTGGCATTTTGGATATCGGAAACCTGACAAACTTTGAACAAGGTTATTACCAGTGCACTGCTATGAACCTTCTTGGCAACAGTTCCTGTGAAATTGATCTAACCTCTTCACGTGAGTAGCTTACACAATTTTAACGGTTTCTCTTTAATTCAAGTAGCTTGGACCTGCCAGCCAAGTGAATTCATTGGGGTTTCTGGCTGATCAGTGCTGCCTCTCTGAGGCTTTGTGTGCATCACTTCTGGGCTGATATGGTGAATGACCACCCTACTGTCTGTTGCTTATACTTGGGTTCCACACACTTCCCTAAATCCTGTAAAACAAGTGCTTGGTTTGAGCTTCACAAAATCTCTAAGAATTAGGTATCGCTATTCATTATGTAAAACAACAGTCTCATCGGTAATATTTGGCTGAATTTCCCTCGGTAAATCCAGGTGGCACTGTAGCTATTTTTGTGAAACATACATGGCTCACAAGCTTTCCAGTCCCTGGATGCCTGGTTTCTTCTAAGAATGGTAATAGTTACGCACACCTGCCACTCTAGTATCTGTGGAGCACAAACCACAGGGCAGACACTCAGGTAGATGCTGAATGAACTTTGTCTTATTTCATTTCCCGACTATGGCGTTTAGGGAACAGAATACGCTGTAGGTCTTATCTTCCCCAAAAGGACACGGAAGCTTAGGGCGTAACAGATTTGCCCACGATCATCCAGTTAGTGATTGGCAGAACTGGGATGTTTGTAAATTCCAACCTTACCATTGAAAAGGGCAAACTTAAAGCCCCCAGAATCATTCAGGTGGGGCCATCCCGAGAGAAGCCTGACAGAGGATGTCTCGGCAAATGTCTTTCGTAATACCTGGATCTGATCTGTTCATTGCCTTTTTTTTTTTTCCCCTCACTGACTTGGGATCTGGGTTTCCATATACACCCCATATAAGCATAGCAAGTTCTACTGGCTCATATCACCTTTCCTACAAAGCTAAGCTTTCTCCCTGTTGTTTGTCCCAAAGCTTGTTTATTCCCATCTGGCTTCCAGTTCTTTTTCTCCGGTCTGTCCTGCTGTCTTTCTGTACATCTGCTCGAATCACCTTTTGCCTTCCTGGATGTATAATTACACCACACCTACTTGAGCGTCACTTCCTTTTCAATTTTTGCTGTGCTGTTTAGCAAGTGCCTACCTCTCTCCCTACCGCTTTCCTTTGCTCCCTTCCTCAAGCATTTAGTGAATATCCACTATGGACCAAGACAGTCCCAGGTGATGCAGATACAGAGATCAACGAAGATGGCTATCTTAACAGTCAAGGGGTCCCCACTTCCTGTAAAGGAACAGATAAGCAACTGCATTGGACTGAAGGCCAAGAACACCAAAGGAAGAAGAATTAACCATAAAGAACTGGTGGTAGCTTCACCACTTCAGTGGCTTGGTTCCTGTAAGGAACTGGAAAGACCTGTTTATCTAGAAAACATTGATACCGCATGACGACAGGAGAGCAGTAGGTATAAGAAGGTAACCACGTCACGCAGGGGAGGAGTGAGGGCTGCAGACAGAATGCCTCTGAGGGCAGAACGTATGGAATGGATCAATGATGTGTATGAGTCTATTTTTCAATAGAGTTGAACTGCTTTGCTGGAAATTAGAGATTAGTGATGATGCAGTTACTTAACAAAACCGCCTCAACAAATCCCCAATGGAGGAAATTATTAACCTTGTTGGAGGGTTTTTTTGACCCCGAATAGGGCAGCAACCTCAATTCTTGTCTCTCAGGAAAGAAGAATTTTCATGTGGACACAGTTTAGTTTTAAAGCAAGATTTATTAGAAAAGTTGAGAAGAGTGGCTCCTGTCCTAGTGACGGGAGGGGGCTCTGAGATAGAAAGGATCCTTACCCCCAGCCATAGTGGCAGGAGGCCAAGTGAAAAAGAATGCCCCCGTATTAATGGTGGGGGAAGCATCCCCCAAAGGTTTCCCTCAAAGAGGTTTCTCCGTAAACAAAGAAAATTCCTGGTTTCCATGGCACCTGGCCCTAGGGCAAAAGGCCAGAAAGGTGTCACTGGCCTTGGGGAAGGGTGTTCCTGACCTGCTAAAATATGCACTTGTCTCGGAAGAGACGAGCTCTGGTGAATCTAAGACATGGTGGGGGATTTTATATTTGAGAAAAAAATGACTTGGGGACCCAGAACACCCTAACTGCCTACTACCCAGTCTAACTCCTCTCACAAACTTAGGGAAGTTTGTTTTTTAAAGTGTTGTACAAGAAAGAATCAGCTGTGACCGAATTTTACCTATTCATAATACAAGAAACTTGAAGTAAAACTTGAGATGTGACTAACTCTATCAGAGGATACGGTAGGGCATGGGGGGAGTGGTGTACAAAGGATTGGATATCTAACTTGTAGAGTAGGAAGTCGGGAGGGGATGGGATGGGAAAAGCGTGCATGAGAAGAAGGGCAACAGAAACATGAGGGCAAGAGGAGTCAAACCAAGGTCAAGAGTAGTCCCTAGGGAGCAGGACTTGGAGATGGGGAAGAATGGGACAGAAGGCTCCTGTTGTTATGTAAGGCCGCACGAAGTGAGGACAGCCTTACCGACTCTCGAGAAAGTGAGTCTCCCCAATGATCAACGAAGATGAGGCTTGATGCAAAAGCAGGAGGATTTATTCAGATGCCAGCGCGCTGGGACGGAGGCCAGTTCCTCACGCAGGAGGGTGGCACATCCGTACCAAGTCGCTACATCACCTGTCTTTTGTAGGCCAAAATTACTTACACAGCATTTTGAAAAATAGCTTACTAATAGGTACAAATAGAATCATAAAACAATAAAGTTAAGGGGCTGTTTTTTCCTGACCATTACATCATAAGACTGCTGTTTCTTTTAGTTTTTTGTCACAATTTTCCTTGAGTTTGCTTCTTTTTCAGACCAAGTTTACTTTTCTCAGACCTTTGGAGCCTCCTCCAAGAAGTCAGGGACTTTTCGGCTCCTCACTATTTTACCTTGATTCCTGCTGAGATACTTATCTCAGGGCCACTGTTGAATTTTGTATCCTGAATCCCAATTGAACCTAATCATTTACCAAAGACATCCTATTCAGCTATTCTCAGCAAGTAAGACAAGTAAAGTACAGAAAGCAAAGAAGCAAGTTAAATTTCTCTATTCTAAATCTTCCTTTTTCAGTTACAAGTTTAATGGTGACTCAACCAAGCCTTTTCTCTCAAAATAGAAGCTGTCTTTCCTGGTAGGAGGAGAGACAGACAGTGGAGGGAGGAGTGCAGGAGGGCAGTTTATAATCCAGACAGTCTCTCCAGGTCAGCACCTCGGGGCTTGCAGGTCTGGCGCTCAGCTGGATTGCCTCACGCTCATTATGGCTTTTTTCCCCCTGGGACTGACGTAATAAACCAGCTGTTTGTTTATTATGAAAACAAGCATTTCCCATCGCAGTGACCAGAAGATGGGATGAGCGTGGCCTTGATTGGGAGAGAAGCAGGTTTTAGGGACCGATTTCATCCTTGCTCTGGGTAAGCCTGGCTAAATGAGCTGCCTAGGTCAGAGGCATAGCGCTAGGGCCTGACAGTAATTCCCTGCTGTCACTCTCCTGTTGAGCCTGCATACACAGAAAACTTCTCCAAACTGTATTTTGGAATCAATCCTGTCTCCTCCAGGTTGGCCTTTTTTCTTTCTGCCCCTTGATGAATATGAATGTTATGTTACATGATCAAGTCAGTTGTGTTTCACTAGCAGCCCAGATGGCAGTTTCTTAGGAGTTTATAATCCCGCAAGGTTGGTTTCCTACCGTGTGAATGTCCTAAATACTCCGCACTAGTCCCAAATGCAAGTGTAGGAGATGGCAGTGTGTTCATTTCACTCTCTGCTTGTGTCTTCCAGATCCTGAAGTCGGGATTATCATTGGTGCCCTAATAGGTACCCTGGTCGGTGCTGCCATCATTGCTTCCGTGGTGTGCTTCGCAAGAAACAAATCAAAGGCAAAGGACAGGAAGAGAAATTCAAAAGCCACCACAGAGCTTGAGTAAGCCTTTATTTTGTTGTCTTCCTATGGATATAAGTATTTCTCAGGTCTATCGCTTTCAATCAGTTCTTGTGGATCACTCCTTTGGGCATGAAATACCTGAAGAATCTTTTTACTCACTCTCATTGCTTATATAAAAAGAATAGTGGTGACCACCATTTCTGAGCCCTGTGTACCAGACTCTGTCCCATGCACATGGTGTATATAAATTCGTTGAACCCTCCTAGGTCCAGAAAACATACTTGTCTTTATACCAACAAAGTCCTAATCATTACAAGAATTTTTTTTTCCTTTTCTTTACTTCTTTATTTTTATTGATTAATTTATTTTTATGAAAGGGCCGTGAAGCCATGTGGCAATCAGAAGGAAACACTTGCACAGGTTGTGCTGCTAGCCACTCTGTCTATTTCATGTCTAGTAGAGGTCAGACTTGTTCATTTGCTCATCCTTCTATCACCTTACTTCCACATGAAGTGATTCAGACATCAGTCAGGTGCCAGCTGTTGTGCTAGATGGAATGGAAGACACAGATGCAGTAGAACTATGCATGTGGTCCTCAAAAACCTCATTAGATTTTTAAACTTTTTCAACCTAATGTCAGTTTCCCCACCTGCTAAACACTAGTGTGTATATTTTGACTTTTGTTTAGAATGTTGAGACCTAAACCTTTTCAACACCCAGATGGAGACATGCAGTCTGACAGTGAGTCAGAAGAGCATAAATAACAGTAGAGTTCAACTACAGGGTATGAAATGTTCAAGTAAGGTTGCTGCTGATGGGACTTTTCTGGGACTTCTTTCTTCTAGACCAATGACCAAAAAATCCCAACGTGCCGAAACTGAAGCCATGCCAACTGAGGATGTGGTTCAGCTAGAATCAACTCTGCCATCTTCCACTCATGCCACTAACCCTGCTTCCATCATGGAGCCAGACAATGTCCCTGCCTCGGGACCAGAATCTGCCCTGGGACAGGGACCGGTTCTGGATCCTGAGCTTGAGATAGAACTGGCACCAGAATCACAACCAGAGTCAGAGCCTGGGATTTTAATTGAATCCCAGCAAGATGATAAAAAGCGAGTGGTTAAGGCATAGATTTGTGCCCAAGGTACGCCATTTGTGATGACAAGGGAACCCATTACTGTTGTTTGCAATTCATTTGACCTAACCCGTCCCCATCCTTTGTCGGTTCTGAACAACCCTCTTCTAACAAGGTGCTCATTTTTACCCTGATTCTAAAGCAAATCGGTCAATATAATAACTAAATAAGTGCAAGGGTTCTGGCATCACTAGTGTAGAATACTGACCATTGTGAACTAACACAGATGCATTACACATGATAAAGCAAGTGATTTCTTACTCGGTTAAAAGAATTTTGCATCAGCATCCAAGTTACATTTCAGAAAACCTTATTTTTCTTTTTTTAAGCTATAATTCATTATGTTCCACAAATGTGCATAGCAAGGTGGTGTTAATGAAATTCAATATTACTAAGATTCTTCTCAGGCTTCCCTACTCATTTATACACTTACCACTGAGAGAACTCAACAGCTTTATCTCATGGATCAGAAAAAGCTTCTCAAAACCAGCAGAGAACAATATGTAAAGGGTACCTGTCAACTGATGCACAGCATTTAAAACAAGGTCTGAGAAATGACATTTCATTTGTCATGCTAGATTTTCCAAGCAGTCCCATTCATATTCAATATTTGAGCATAGCGAGTTCCAAAAGACCAAATTTCAAAGGCTGAATAATGCAGAGGTAACTTATTTTTAATATAATTTTCCTGCAGTGGATGCAAAGTGTTGGTATCACAGGTGATATAGAATTTAGTTTGCAATAAGCTGTTGTTATCCATTTTGTGTCTGATCTTATCAGCTTTGAAGAAGACCAGGAAAGTGTTCTAAATGAACATGTAAGAATTATTTTAGATCATCTCAACTATTTAAATAATCTGTCACTGTTGGTACCCTCCCCATTAATAGAGAGAACATTTTGCTATGAACACTAAATATTAACTGCAATGCATTGATATCACCTCTGCACCTGTTTAAGTCTGTTCATGATTGCATTTCACCCTCACCCCATCTTGAAGACATTTTCAGATAGACTTACTTTTTTCACTTGTGTAATCAATCCTGTTTTAGGGCTTAATAAATAAGGCTCAATAAAATTTCTTGCTCATGACTCGTAAGGTAATTGGGTTTGACATAGATACACACTCAGGAAACCACCACACCACAAGACACAGAAAATTTCCATCAGAGAGAACATTCCTTCATGCAGTTCCACTGTTGCCCTGGACCTAGGCCACCAGTGCTCTGGCTTTCATCAGTGGAGATTAATGTGGCTGAACTGGGATCATACAGTGTGTACTTGATGGTATCTGACTTCTTTCTAAGGTGAATCCTTTTTAAAGGAAGTAATGAATCTCGAAGCTGTCACATCCTGATTTTCATGTAGAGTTTTCTTAAACTGCAAATGCCTTTCTATATATATCATAGACATAGAATGATTGAGGTGCAGTCTCTGTAGGTTTCAAAGTGAGTTGGAATGGAAATTAACATTGCATGTGTTCAAAGCCATGGAGCAAAGAGATGGCAAGTTTTGACTTCAGTATTTTCTTTAAAAAAGAAATCAACTTTGAAAGGGTAGAGTTACAGAGAGAGGCACAGGGAGGGGGAAAGAGAGAAAGAGCTATCTTCCATTTTCTAGTTTACTCCAAAATGGTTGCAATAGCCCTGGACTGGGCCAAGCCAAAGCCAGGAGCCAGAAACTCCATCCGTGTTTCAGTGTCCAAGTACTTGGATCATCTTGCTGCTTTCCCAGGCACATTATCAGGACTTAAATTGGTCCTCATATGGGATACTGGTGTTACAGGCAGCAGCATAACCCATAGCACCACAATGCCGAGCCCTTATAAGATTTTTTTTTTTGATACATTAATATTCATGCAATCACTCAAATTTTTGAAGCACCTGTAATTCCATTCACCGATTAATACCACATTATATTTTTTTTTAATGTGTACATGAAACAAAATGATGAAGGTCTGGAAAAATAATCTTTAGAGAATAAAAGCTATTCACTAACAATATAAAATGTCAATTAGCTGAATGTCCATGCAACTAGAATTCATTTATCCCGTCCATTTTATGTAGAGGGAAAATCACAAGAAAAAAAATGACTGATTTGTAATACTCAGCTATGACCCCCAAATTCTGATGGATTAGCACTGATGAAGAACAAAGGCACTGCTAGGTGCCTTATGGAATTCTGCTCTGATGAGCACTCTGCTATTGGAAATTAATAGCATTCATCTTGTGAACAAGTTGGATTCTGATAATGGTTGGTTTGTCTTTTTATTTCTTTTTTAATTCTTATTATCATTTTATGATACAGTTCCATAGGCCTTGGAATTTCCCTTACCCCCTTCCAAATACCCTCCCCATTCACTGAATTCCCATGTTATTACTGTAATATATTTCCACATAAACAGTCATATGTCCATGATGGTAGGCATGGACATTCGCATAGAGTCCAGCATGCTATTGGAAGTCCATCTTTGATCTGGAAGTAGAGATGCATACTGCACTGTATTCTCACATCTGGATATGATAGTCTCCATTACACAGTTACTATACATCCCCTTAAATGAAAAGCCACAATACAAACTCAACAGGAAGGAAAATAGAAATTTACAACACATGAAGTTAAATAATATGCTGCTGGATATAATAGTCTGCATTACACAACCACTGTAAACCTCTTAAATGAAAAGCCACAAAGCAAAATCAACAACAGGAAGAAAAAAAGAAATTAAAAATGCCATGAAGTTAAATAACATGGTAGTGAATGACTAATGTATTGCTGAAGAAATGAAAAAGAAAATCAACATTCTGGAAGAAAATGATACTACTGTATGACCTATGAGTCAGTGAAGAATTTTATGAGACAAACTGTTTCCTGAGGTATAGTTTCTGCTGATCTTTGTTGGTAAAATATGTCTCCTGTAGGCAACACATAGGTTTTGTTTTATTAATCCAGCCTATTAATCTGATGTTTGATTGAGTTTAAGCCATTTACATTCGGGGTTAATATGAATGGGTGGTAAATTGGTCCTGTCACTTTAGCAATGGGTGGTTAATTGATTTAGTCTTCTGTTGTTATTTTACTGGGATATTCTTCACATTTGTCTTTGGTTTTGGTGGGTTCTATTCCTCTTCTCTGTGTCAAGAGTATATCCTCAGTCTAATACTCTCCCAACTGAGCTATTCTGGCCACACACACAAGAGTATATCTTTAAATATCATTTGTAGTGCAGGTTTGGAAGAGGCATATACTTTTAAATTTTCTTTACTGTGGAAGAATTTTACTTCATTTTCAAAAACAAGGAAAAGCTTTGCTGGGTACGTTATCCTGGGATGACAAATTTTGCTTTTAGAATCTGGAATATGTCGCTCCTTCTTCTTCTTGCCTGTAGAGTTTCCTGTGAGAGGTCTCCTGTGAGTTTAATTAGCATTCCTTTATATGTCAACTGATTTTTTTTCACGTGCACATTTAAGGTCCTTTTCCTTATGTTTTGGTCAACCTTGTTGGGAGTTCTGTGCTCCTCCTGGATTTTGTTTCCCAATCCTTTCTCTAGATAAGGGGAAATTTCCCTTATTATTGCACTGAATACACCTTTAATCCTAGTTTCTCTTTCTGTACCTTCTGAGAGTCCCATAACTCTTACATTTGGCCTTTAATAGTGTCTTTCAGTTCTTTAATACTTTTTTAGCTTGACCCAGCTCTGCTTCCAGCTTTTTGTTTGTTTCCCCCTTGTGACAGGAAATAACTTTTAATTTTGAGATTCTTTCTTCAGCTTCATTCATTCTACTTTGGAGACTCTCCACTGTACTTTTAATTTGTTCCACTGTATTCTTCATTTCTGACAAATCAGCTTTCATTTGATTCACTTCCTGTGTGACATATTCATTAAATTCCTTGAGCTCCTGTGTTATGTGATTCTCATTGCTGATCAGAAGCTTTATAACAAGTGTTTTGAATTCTGTATCCCCAGTTTTCTTGATGTATTCTTCAGTTAACTCTGAGGTTGGCAAAGGCTTTTTGCTCCTTTGCAGAGGACTCTTCAGTAATATTCATTGTGCCTCTGTCTCTTCTTTTGCTCTTGGTCATTGTACTTCTGGTTATCAGATTCTTCTCCTTGGGGCAGGTTTCCTAGCTGTATCACCCACAGGTCTGCAGTTTGATTTTACTTATTGCAGTTGGTACACGGCTCTTTGTTTGCAGCCTTTTGTGCCACTCCCTCCAACGAGTTTCAGGTTTGGTTTCTTATGTTAGATTTCCTCCATGGTCTCCATAGCCTTTGTCCCTGGCTCACCACCCTCCACCTCCTGTGATCCCATGCTGAGGCTGCCCCGTTGTCTGTACAACCTTTCTCCCCCTTCTGGTTGGAGCAGGTCCCAGGATTAGGGAGACACCAGGTGTCCTATATAGCTAGATTGTTCATGGTGGTGATCTTGCCAGAACATGTTGGCTGCCAGATCTGAGGGCCACACAGATGTATTTTGACCCATACGATGCCAAAGTTGGTATTATTTTTCCTGTGGAACCAGTGCAATGTCCAGAGTTCAGTGAGTTTGCTCCCAGCTCAGTGCATGTGCAACTCACTGTTGTCCCTGCAGTCTTTTTTTCCACACTGCACAAAATTGTGCCTGATGTGCCACTACTAAAGTTCTTGATCTGCTGGCCGTCAGATTTGAGGGCTACCTGGACCTGTCTTGGGTAGAACCTGTAGGATGGCACATTGCTTGCAGTTCACTGAGCCAGAAATGAGTTCATTCCCAGCTCAACACATGTGCAGTCCTGCCCCATACCCTTGCCTCCTTAAACAAAATGGCGGCCAATACAACTCTAGGGGGCAGACTGGGCTGTGAAATCCACCCTGTTCCTGCATAAGGTGAGGACCTTAACCACTGCGCCACTGCGCCACTGCGCCGCCCCCCCCCCCACACTTTTTTTTTAAATTGGTATTGGAAAGGGAAATTTACAGAGAGAAGGAAATATAGAAAGATCTTCAATCTGCTGGTTCATTCCCAAAATGGCCACAACAGCTAGAGCTGCACCAATCTGAAACCAAGAGCCAGGAACCTCCTCTAGATCTTCCATGTGGATGCAGGATCCCAAGGCTTTGGGCCATCCTCAACTGCTTTCCCAGACTACAAGTAGGGAGCTGGATGGGAAGTAGAGCTGCGGGGTCATGAACCAGCACCTGTATGGGATCCTGGCATGAGCAAAGTGAGAATCTAGCACTGAGCTATCATGCTGCGCCCAGCTTTGAGCTTCTTAAGCACTCAGTCTCACTCCTCAAAGGGTATTATAGGAACTTCTCTCATCTCTTCACTCTGCATGAAACAACTAGGTAAAGTCAATGGAACAGTTTTATTTTGTTGTTGTTTTGGCTATAGGCACTTATCATTTCCAAATATATTGAGCCACCTACTGCATATTTATTGAATGGCTAATATGAACCAGACACTTTGCTGATGGGACACTGGTTTGCAGAATTAGAGCTAGCCCTTGTCCTCAAGGAGTATACAGTTTTGTAAGTATAACAAGTTCTTGTGTGCATTACCAATGTGTTGACTGCAGAAGATGAAATTTGGAATTTCCACTACATAAGGGAAACCCTCAAAATGATAGTGATCTATGACAAAATGGGATCAAAACATAGCAATTTGTGACCATTAGCTAATAAACCATCCACTGCTACACCATTTAGAAATCCAGGTGACTCCCTCATCCCAATATTGCATGTTTAGAAGTTAGTAATTGCAAATGGGTAGCAGGCTTGTTAAACTTTGAATAAAAATTTGAGTTTCATGAAAGCTTTGAGATCAATAGGACTCAACCTTTCTAACTGCAGTGTATTTGAGGGTCATAATACACACTCAGTGGCACAATCCTGCCAATGATAGGGCTGATGTTTGGGAGGTGATGAAGATTTACATCGTCAGTGGGAGAGGCAAAAAGAAGCAGACACGCTTTTCTAAAGCCAGAGAGGACAATTGCTGAATAAAGAGAAACAAGAAAGTTTGCCTGAAGTCGCACGGGAATTGAGGCAAGATGTAAATTCTTAACACAATGTAATGTTTCTTGAAAT